CTTGGTTTGTCATCTTGGAACCCTCCCTCCTGACTCAATTTCTTTGATCTAAAAATTGAAGGAGCAAAGCAAAAAATTGTCGGACGAAGGTTGCATGCCATGAGATGCAGCCAGGTTTTGGGTACTCCACCAACTGTGAGTGCCAGCTCTCAGATTCAACAGGTGGCAGGGGAGATTCCTCCATCCACACTGATTACCATGGATGGAGGAATCCATATAGTTCACTTGTTCAACCCTCAGGGCTGAACTAAAGAAATATTACACTGTATGGCTAGTTTAAGACCTTTTAAGTACTGATCTACTTTGGTGCTTTGGACCCCTACTTTTTAAACCCCTATTGTGTCCCCTTGAGAGGGAAATTGGGCTTGGATGCTTTATCCATATATGACACAGTTTAATACATGTACCGCCTTCTCTACAGTTCCTGAGGAATAGGGACGAGCCACGTGTTTGGTCCAAACATTCACCATTTGGGCATTTGTCCAAAAGTTGAATCTTTAGGGTGTTTGGCGTGGACAAACACGACAGCTTTGTGCTGTCAATGGTTGCTAAGGAAGCAGTAGGTGTCTGCACCTATCGAGCCCTTAACAACCACTGACATTACCCAACCCATTCACTTATCTATGCAAAGGGCATAGATAGGGTAACATTGCCCAAATATGGCCAAATGGTCATATTTCGGTAATAACGAAATATGGCCATGGCAATATTTCGGCAATGATGTCACCAATACCTCCACTCCTCCATTATAATTCCGATGACGGCTCAAATCGGTTTTCGGCTTTTTTCTTTAGGTGGGTGTCATTCATCTTAATTGGTGAGCATCTACATTGCTAGAAGATGTGAATGATGATCAATGTATGCACTGGGACATTTTTCCCTTTTTTTAATAAAGGACTGTTTGTATTTAATTTACTCCTTACTCATTCACATAAAGAAAAGGTTGGTATCAGGGTGGGGATTTATTTTTAAAGGGGACTTTCAAATCTCAATAATCTCCCTGTCCCCCTGACAACCGCCAGGACAAGGTTTTGGGGAAATAACTCTTGTCCTCCTCAATATGGGGACAAGGTGCTTTGTCAGGGGTGTCCCCCCCGAAAATGTGCCCCTTTATGTTGAGGGTATGTGGACTGGTACAGTTCAAAAAAAGGAAGGGTGGGAGCACATGCTGTTCTTTCCCCTTTCCTGGCCTGCCAGGCTGCATACTTGGACAATGGTGTGGATTTTTGGGGAAACCTCACACTTTTGGGTAGACATTCATCTGAAGGGGGCCATGGCTGGACGCTCAATTTGAAAATGCCACTGGCCTGTTTTTAAATGAAAACAGTGTACAGTGGGGCAAAAAAGTATTTAGTCAGCCACCAATTGTGCAAGTTCTACCACTTAAAAAGATGAGAGAGGCCTGTAATTGGCATCATAGGTAGACCTCAACTTTGAGAGACAAAATGAGAAAAAAAAAATCCAGACAATCACATTGGCTGATTTGGAAAGAATTTATTTGCAAATTATGGTGGAAAATAAGTATTTGGTCACTATCAAAAGTTCGTCTCAATACTTTGTTATATATCCTTTGTTGGCAATGACAGAGGTCAAACGTTTCCTGTAAGTCTTCACAAGGTTGGCACACACTGTTGCTGGTATGTTGGCCATTCCTCCATGCAGATCTCCTCTAGAGCAGTGATATTTTGGGGCTGTCGCTGGGCAACACAGACTTTCAACTCCCTTCAAAGGTTTTCTATGGGGTTGAGATCTGGAGACTGGCTAGGCCACTCCAGGACCTTGAAATGCTTCTTACGAAGCCACTCCTTTGATGCCCAGGCGGTATGTTTGGGATCATTGTCATGTTGGAAGACCCAGCCACGTTTCATCTTCAATGCCCTTGCTGATGGAAGGAGGTTTGCACTCAAAATGTCACAATACATGGCCCCATTCATTTTGTCCTGTACATGGATCAGTCGTCCTGGTCCCTTTGTGGAGAAACAGCCCCAAAGCATGATGTTGCCACCCCCATGCTTCACAGTAGGTATGGTGTTCTTTGGATGCAACTCAGCATTCTCTCTCCTCCAAACATGATGAGTTGTGTTTCTACCAAACAGTTCTATTTTGGTTTCATCTGACCATATGACATTCTCCCAATCCTCTTCTGGATCATCCAAATGCTCTCTAGCAAACTTCAGACGGGCCCAGACATGTACTGGCTTAAGCAGGGGGACACGTCTGGCACTGCAGGATCTGAGTCCCTGGTGGCGTAGTGTGTTACTGATGGTAGCCTTTGTTACGTTGGTCCCAGCTCTCTGCAGGTCATTCACTAGTGGTCTTGTATGTCTTCCATTTTCTAATCATTGCTCCCACAGTTGATTTGTTCACACCAAGCTGCTTGCCTATTGCAGATTCAGTCTTCCCAGCCTGGTGCAGGTCTACAATTTTGTTTCTGGTGTCCTTTGACAGCTCTTTGGTCTTCACCATAGTGGAGTTTGGAGTGTGACTGTTTGAACTTGTTATCAGTATAAAAGACACCTGTCCACAACCTCAAACAGGTGCCATTGATACAGGTAATGAGTGCAGGACAAAAGGAGCCTCTTAAAGAAGAAGGTACAGGTCTGTGAGGGCCAGAAATCTTGCTTGTTTGTAGGTAACCAAATACTTATTTTCCACCATAGTTTGCAAATAAATTCTTTCCAAATTAGCCAATGTGATTGTCTGGATTTTATTTCCTCATTTTATCTCTCATAGTTGAGGTCTACCTATGATGCCAATTACAGGCCTCTCTCATCTTTTTAAGTGGGAGAACTTGCACAATTGGTGGCTGACTAAATACTTTTTTGCCCCACTGTATGTACCAGAATCTGACCTGCTATCAGCCCCTTGCCTTGCCTGTAGATCATAGTTCAGACTGGGAGAGGTAGAAGCTACAAGGAGCCAATCAGTTGTGTTGCGGTGCAAGATATACGCTAATAGCTGGAGAGAGCAGCTGACAAAGAAATTACCTCATCCGTCTGTGTGGAAGCAGTAATCTCTCTGCAGCGGTCCACCCCCCCCCCCCCCCGCAGAGTCAGAGCTAGATCTCTCCAATCATGAGCTTTGCTCTAACACAGGCCCAGCAGGTGGCGTGTCAGACCTCTGCAGAGAGACCACTGCTTCCACACAGTGAGAATGGGTCCTTCTTTGCAGCATGATGGCAGGGTATAAGCTTTTCTACTTTTCTAAAGAAAATGAATCGTAAGACTTAGAACACCTTTTATTCTATTCATCTGAAAGTACAGTATGCAGCCAATTTAAACTGAAATTTCAGTGGGGTTTTAAGATAATCAGGACAGGAGATACAAAGCTGAACATAGGAAAGATGGGAGACACATTTTCCAACACACAGCTGACTTCCCATCCAGCAATTTCTCAGAAAACGGATCTCAGCTGTTATTTAACTGCCTCCCACAAAAGAAACTGGAATAAAGCTGCAAAACCAATTTCCATGGACATCAAATGACTAATCTTCAGTGCAGGTACCTTATATCCATATTCAGAATCAGAGTAATAGCTCTTCCAGTTTTGAGAATATAATAACAATGTAGAATTACCGAGAGACACTATGGACAAGCAATGGGTGCAAAGACACAAAAGAGTTTGGGGAAAATTTGATATCACAGGGTAGAACACATAGGAAGCCATCAGGGGAGAGTCAAGTCACCAGGCAAAACTAAAATATCCACTTGAAGACACGCTAACGTACATATATGTTACAGGCTTCAATGGTTGTAACGGGATGATGCCTGTAGCTGCAAGCATCATCCCAATTTAGTTTTTTTTGGTCCGTGGGATGACTTTGGTCTGGTAGCCGATGGCCATCACACTCCTCCACCCCCTTCGCTGCCCACTAGTGCCTCTCTAGGATCTCCATCCCACCGGAGATCCCAGATGCTTTTTCCTGCTTAACACAGAGCCATCAGAGGATCGGAAGGTCTCTGATGACCTCTGACACAGGAAACCAGAAGCGATGAGTACTATTGTCATTTTCAGTTTCCCGGATGTAAAATAGCACCGTTTTTAAAATGGGAAAGTATATAATCATACCAATCTTGGGGTGATCAGATGCTTTTAGGGCACAACAGAGGGCTGGGGTCTAATAATCCTCAGATCTCTCAGTAAAGAGTACCTGTCACTGCTTATTGCTGTCACAAAGGATGTTTACATTCCCTGTGACAGCAATGAATGAGATAAAAAAAAAAAAAGTGTAAAAAAAAAAAAAAGTTAAAGCACCCGTCGCCTTTTGCAAAGACAAAAGCAAGGAAGCATACGTAAACAACGATCGCACCACACATGTGAGGTATTGCCGCAAGCACCAAAGCTAGAGCAATAACTTTAGCATTAGACCTCTTCTGTAACACTAAACTAATAACCTGGAAAAGGATTATAAAACATCACCTATGGAGATTTTTAAGAAACACAATTTGGCACCTGTCCACAAGCGTGTGCATTTTTAAAGCGCGACATGTTTGGTATCTATTTACTTGGCATAACATCATATTCTATATTTTACCAAAAACTGGGTATTATTTCGAGTTTGCATGCATTAAAATTCACGAAAGTGTATTTTTTCCCAAAAAACTGTTAAAAAAAAAAAAATCACACCGTGCAAATATCATGCAACATAACAAATTGCAAAACCCGCCTCATTTTATTCTCTAGGGCTATATATGTTTGGGGGTTCTAAGTAATTTTGTAGCAAAAAATACTGATTTTTAAATGGAGACAAAATGTGTCAGAAAAAGCTGTACCTTCAAGTGGATATCAGCTTCAAGTGAAGCAAACTTGTAATCTTGTTCTCAAACAAACTTTAGAATAGCCTAATGGATACGGGAAAGAGAGATTTCAAGTATAATCTCTGCAAATTGATTTAAACTTGGCAGTGGTACAATTCTAGAAAAAAATTCAGAGTAAATATTTGGGAACGTTCAGGACAGCCTACCCTCTTCTTTGATGGGACAGGATGTGAAATGACTTACCTGTCACAGCGCTAGCCAATGGAGAAGCTGCTTTGACGACATTTGAGGTCATTACACGATGCTCAGCACGAAACCTGTAGAGAAGAGGACAGAACTGTAGGACAAATTGGACATTTGTAGATGAAGACAACCATGAAATAAAACATTCCATATCTATAGGAACATATGGACACCCCAAACCCCTATGATTTGCACGTACCAGGTACAACTAGTACTGAACTGCAACTAGTAGTAAACTACAACCAAACCTTTTCCAGGTTGGTTCATGACTGGCAGCTCAGTAGGCTCCACATCTCTCGGCACCTTAAGGGCCCATTCCCATCAGGTGCATCGGGGCTGTGATAGGCAGCCCAGTTCCAACACAAGACAAAGCAACAAGTCCTGTTCCCAGTGAAGTCAATTCATATCACTATGTTGCAGTGCTGTACTTTTTTCAGCACACATCACAGCAATACAGTGGTATGTACTGGTAAGATTGGGGACGAGGCTTTTGCCTGGTCTTGCATTGGGACTGTGCTGTCCAAAATAGTCAAACACAGTCCTAACACAAGTGTTATGAACAGGTCCTAAACAGTGCAATGCACGGCTTACTGAGCTTCAGTATAACTGCCCTCAAACCGCACCCCAGCACATGCATTCAAATGTAGCTGCTGGTGTAAATTGGCCCTAAAAAGAGGGGGCAGCTACTCCAGGGCCTGTGACTAGAGGAAGCGCCACCACACAACTACTTTATTAAAGTGGGTTTTTTTTTTGGGGGGGGGGGGGGGAGGTTATTATAGTTTTGGGCAGAGTAGAGAAATGTAAAAATTCATCAGCTAAATTTTCTGGTCTGTGCCCTGTTGGGGAGATTTCCATACCTGGGAATGTGTGTAAATCAACAGGCCTGAGAGTGGGGGTGGGACAAGAGGTGGAGCACATTAGACACCTAAACTTATTTAATGGTTGTGGCGTTCACTGATATAACATTGGCACGTCATAGCAAATTGAAGATGCCACTGTGCCATCATTGGCCAGAGGAACAAACGCCGCCGTGCCGGCCAGAGGAACAAACGCCGCCGTGCCGGCCAGAGGAAGGAACAAACGCCGCCGTGCCGGCCAGAGGAACAAACGCCGCCGTGCCGGCCAGAGGAACAAACGCCGCCGTGCCGGCCAGAGGAACAAACGCCGCCGTGCCGGTGTCAGTGGGAGGAAATGAATACTGCCCTGCCGGTGTCAATGGGACGACAAGAATGCTGCTCTGATGGTGTCAGTGGGAGGAAAAATTGGAGTTGCATTGGTTTCATTATATTGCACTCATCAATGGCTCCCAACATACCCTACTGAACTGCAGTAATGTCTCGCACAAGTAGCCAGCGTTGGTGATAAAAGTGCTCCTAGTTCTGTCCATACAGAGTGGGGTATGATCATTGACAGAATCAATGCAACATGGGCTGTTATGCTATTAGGCCAGTCCTCTCACTGACCACTAGGGCCACGCTGCTATCAAGCTGGCTCCCATATGATATTATATATTCCCACAAGTTTTTTTTTTCCTTTTTTCGGAGCTCCATGGTACAGTGCTTGTCGAGTCCTCTGTGAACAATAAAAGTGAACTGTGAAATCACAGCACACAAAAAACATGCATGAAAGGTTCAGGGCCTCTAACCCTAAACCACACAAGTGGTGTTCAATTGTGTCAGTGTCAAGCGGGACTCCCAAGGTGGCTCCAGTTGCGTACATTCCCCATGTGGGGCGCATTCACAGGTGGTCAATGGAGGGAGGAGAGAGCAGAATCCTCCCCTCCAGTAGCTGTCGTGGCCTCTGCTCTGCTTGATGGGAGCCATGCTGCAGTCATTCCTGAAAACAATCTGTATCAACAGAAAGTCAGAGAACCCAGCCTGGCCAGAAACGATCGATAACAAATGTGAAAAGTAGACGAAGATCTAGCAAGTACCCAGGTACAGAGATTTCTCTTCAATTTCCTGTCCCAGCGACAACAGGAAAAGAGGGGAAATCTCTACAATGTGAGAAAATGTTCCTTAGACAGTTGTCACCAGGACAGGCAGGCTCATTGGAAGATTTACTCATTCTAAAATGAAGGATTTCCTCTCACTTTCTGTCTTGGTGACATGGGCCAAACAGACAAACTGAGAGGGGAGATTCCACATAGAGGCAATTAGATATTTACAAAAGGGACTAAAGCCAGCCATACACCAGAAGAATTTGGTTCAAAAATATTTTTTTGGGACACTAGTTCAAGTTTCTAATCGTTAGTGGGGTCTACTTTATGTTCGTTTTCTACTGTAGTGATGTAAAAATTTGAAGGAGCAGGATGGAAAATTTTTCTCGAACAAATGATTTTCTAGCAGTGTATGTGGATTCATTCAGGAAATTGCATATATTCCAAGATCGAATGTTAAGAGCAAGTGGGATTTTGATGTGCTTTCAAATGCCGTTCGTCAAGTTAGCGTTAATCGAATGTATGTTGAAATTTTTTTGTATGAATAATCTACCAGTGTATGGAGAGAGGAAAGGAAAAGGAAAAGAGAGAAAGAAAAGAAAAGAAAAAGGAAAAGGAAAAGAGAGAAAGAAAAGAAAAGGAAAAAAAAAAAAAGGAAAAGAGAGAAAGAAAAGAAAAGAAAAAGAAAAGGAAAAAAAGGAAAAGAGAAAAGAAAAAAAAGAAAAAGGAAAAAAAGGAAAAAAAAAAAGGAAGGAAGGAAGGAAAAGGAAAGAAAAGGAAGGAAAAAGGAAGGAGAAGGAAAAAGGAAAAAGGAAAGAAAAGGAAAAAAAAGGAAGGAGAAGGAAGGAGAAGGAAAAAGGAAAAAGGAAAAAGGAAAGAAAAACGGAAAAAGGAAAGAAAAGGAAATGGAAAAGGAAAAAGGAAAAGGAAAGAAAAAAAGGAAAGAAAAAGGAAAAAGGAAAAAAAAGGAAAAAGGAAAAGAAAAGGAAAAAGAAAAGGAAAAGGAAAAGGAAAAGGAAAGGAAAAAAAGGAAAAGGAAAAGGAAAGGAAAAGGAAAAGGAAAAGAAGGAAAAAGGAAAGAAAAAGAAAGAAAAGAAAGGAAAAGAAAAAGAAAAGAAAGGAAAAGAAAAAAGAAAAAGAAAAGAAAGAAAGGAAAAAGAAAAAAAGAAAGAAAAGGAAAAAAAAAAGAAAAGAAAGAAAAGAAAAAAAGAAAAGAAAGGAAAGAAAAAGAAAAGAAAGGAAAGAAAAAGAAAAGAAAGGAAAGAAAAAGAAAAGAAAGGAAAAGAAAAAGAAAAGAAAGGAAAAGAAAAAGAAAAAAAGAAAAAAGAAAGAGAGATCGGATATTTCTATTCAGTTTAATGATAGATTTTTGTCTAGTTGTTTAACACATACTGGAAGAAGATAAGAGGATAGAGACACCTCTCCAATGTCATATGATAGGGCCAGAGTGAGTGAGTAAGTGCAATTGTGCAATCTGGAGTTGTGTCAGATTCTTAATGCAGACACAGATAAAATATAGATTTCTGAGTCCTCACCACCACCACCCCAAACAGGACATGAGAATGTCATCATCAGGGACTTATGTATCTAAAATTCTATATTACTCATTACAAGCAAATAGATCTCAGCTCTCATTTATCTGATGTATCTCAGACATTCAACCCTTCTGCTGCCACAGCCTTTTTTGCACACATTTAAAAAATAATTTTAGGCCTCAAGGTTACGTAACCCCCCCCAAAACATTATATATTTTCTGAAAGCAAACACCCTGCAGATGGAAAAGGACATAAAAAGATATTCAAAGCCTTGAATATGCCAATCAGTACTGCTAAATCACCTAGTTAAGAAGTGGAACGTTCGTGGATCTCGATACCAAGCCAAGGTCAGGTAGACCAAGAAAGATTGCAGCCACAACTGACAGAAGAATTGTCCGGGATTCAAAGAAAAACCCACAGGAAACCTCAAAAGAAATACAGGCTGCTCTGGAAAAGGTGGTGCGGTTGTTTTTAAGGAGTACAATACAGTTATACTTGAACAAAAATGAGCTGTTTGATCGAAGAGCCAGAAAGAAGCTTTTACTGCACCAATGCCACAGAAATGCCCGGTTACAATATGCCCGACAACACCTTAACATGCTTAACCGGGCTTTTGTGTCATTGATGCAGTAAAGGCTTCTTTCTGGCACCTCTACCATGCAGCTAATTTTTGTTCAAGTGTCATCTTATTGTGCTCCTTCAAAACAACCACACTGTCTTTTTCCAGAGCAGCCTGTATTTTTCTTGTGGTTACCCATGCGTTTCCCTTTGTATCCTGAACAATTCTTCTGGCAGTTGTGGCTTCTATCTTTTTTGGTCTACCTGACCTTGGCTTGGTATCAAGAGATCCCCAAACTTTCCACTTCTTAATAGGTGATTTAACAGTACTGATTGGCATATTCAAGGCTTTGGACATCTTTTATGTCCTTTTCCATCTTTATAAAGTTCCATTACCTTGTTATGCAGGACTTTTGACAGTTATTTTCTGATCCCCATGGCCCATTATCTAGCCTAGTCAGTGCTACCACGTAAAGCTAACAAACTGACTATTATTAATATTATTATTATACAGTATTTATATAGTGCCAAAAGGTTTGCTCAGCGCTGTACATTATAGTTGGGGAAAGTACATGAGACAATACAGTAACAAAACACGAGGGGGTCAAGGGCTCTGTTCTTCCGAGCTTACAATCTAGGAGGGAGGGGAGAGTGGTACAGGAGGAAGTGGCTGTGGGGGATGGAGTGGTAGGAGGAGTGGAGGAGATCGGCTGTTAGGTGAGGGTGGGGTAGGCTTCCCTGAAGAGATGGGTTTTCAGGGTGCGCCTAAACGTGAGGAGGGTAGGTGACAGTCTGATGGACTGGGGTAGTGAGTTCCAGAGGATGGGGGAAGTCCTGTAGAAGTCCTGCAGTTGGGCGTGGGAGGAGACCAGGGAGCTAGAAAGTAGGAGGTCTTGTGAGAAGCGAAGAGTACGCGTTGGGTGTTATACACTGACACTAATTTCAATTTAAAAAAGGCACAGATGTGGGACATTAACCTCTAATTGGCATTTTAACCCGTGTGTGTCACCTTGTGTGTCT